CAAGTCCTATGAACATTTTAGGACATCCTCATGTCTCAGAAAAATAAGTTATCGGGAAAAAAAAAATTGTCAATTGTCAGGCATCAGGAAAAAAGCAACTTTTTTTTTTTCTTGAGAACTCAGCATGTCCTAAAATGTGCACCGTAGTAAAGGCAGCAGTCCTTTTCTATGACTGCAAAGACAACAAAAGTACTAATTTAGCTTTAAAAGTCATAATATTAGAATAATTTTAATTCATCTTTTGCCTGTAATTATTGAGTTTTACTCTTTGAATTACTGAAACTACCTTTATGACATGTTCTACTATTGTGAAATTAACCTGTGTTATATTAACCTACCTAATAAGATCTTTTTCTGCTTTTTTTGGATCAGATCCAACATGGCTGTCTACCAACTTGGGCATCCTTACATGCATCGAATGCTCTGGCATCCATAGAGATTTAGGAGTTCATTACTCCAGGATTCAGTCGCTCACTCTGGACCTGCTCAGCACCTCAGAACTGCTGGTAATGAAAGAGAAAATGAACGCAAACATAGAATAGAATAAATCTCTATTGTCCACTTAAGTGAAAAATTATCTTTGCCTCACCAGACAGACGATGCTAAAAAAAACATAAATACAGATAAAAAGGGTTGTGTAAAATGCATAGAGCTAATAAAACATCAAGTATCCGCTTTTTCCTGACATTTCATGCCTTGTGTTGTTCCTTCAGTTGGCTGTCAGCATCGGCAACACTAGATTTAATGACATCATGGAGGCAGGACTCCCAAATGACTCTGTGAAACCGTTGCCACAAAGTGACATGTAAGTTCCTGATCCTCCGTCAGACAAACATCTGACTGATTTGACAAAAACATTATTAGATGCTTTTTATTTATGTTTCCTCAAAATTCAGGAATGCCAGGAAGGAGTACATTGTGGCAAAGTATGCAGAGCGTCGGTACGTCCTCCGCAGGGATGAGTCTGATCCGGGTCGCTTGTACGACGCAGTCAGGAGCCGCGACCTTGTTTCGCTTCTGCAGCTCTATGCTGAGGGAACGGACCTGTCCAAGCCGCTGACTCTTCCTGAAGGACAGGTTAGTGATGTTTACAGACAGTTTTGTTGTTTCTAACAAGCTTGTTTAAGACAGTAACTCTTGATGATATTTAAAATCTTCCGTTTCATAAAAGCAAATATACCGGTAACAATAAAATATCTAGCATATGTAGTTAGTAGTAGAGCAGTTATGCTTGCCTTTTCCTTTGAGTAGTTTAGCAAACGTTCTTTGGTCTCTTTTGGCCTTTAATTTACATTTCTCCTCCCTCCTTTCATCTCTTATTTCCTCTGCCGTCCCCCTCCAACGCCTTGACTTCATCTCTTTAATCACCGTCTAACTTAGACACTTCCTGGACGGCCATAACAGCATGTGGGGGAGATTTACTCTGTGGTTGTGAGATGTTATTTGTTTATGTTGGTTGGCTTTCTTTTATTATTTCAGCTTTTGGGTGAAAGCTCGCGTCTCATGAGAGCAAATAAGACGGGCGTATTCAATTACAGACACTGCTGCTCCTCCTGTTGCTCTTCATTCAAACAGATGAACCTGCAGGAGAGTTTTCACATTTTAACACAGAAATATATGATTTGCTGTAGAATCAAGCACTAAGCTCTCACTGGTTGTCAGTTAGTTATTTAGATAGAAGGAGCAGCTTCACCTAATTGGGTAGATGGTAAATATTCTGTCATGAAAAAGAATAATAGTTTGTGTAGATGGACAATCATGACCAAATTTTAGTGGTTGAGAAAAGGACTTTTATTTTCATTTTGCATACACAGAGTGAAGACAAACATTTTTTTGTTTAGTGCAGCTTTCAGACAGTAAATTAACATTTCCATTCAATGAAGTGCAGCAGTGATTAAATGTAAATCTATGCCTTCTTCTATACAGGGATATTTTGCATTCATTTTAGTTTAATAAATAAAGTGATCAGATAAAGGCACTCAGAGGTGTAAAGAAACAAAGAACACATACTTTATGACCTTACTTAAGTAGAAATTTTGGCTATCTATGCTTTACTGGAGTAATTATTGTTTAGACAACTTTTCATTTCTACTCCTTACGTTTTTTTTGCAATTATGTCCTCTTTCTACTCCTTAAATTTTAAAAATAGACTTGTTAGTTTTCTTTATTTCAGCGTGTTTTCCATTATGGCCTCTGGGTATTTGAATAAAATAAAAACAACAAAATCATTTGTTTCACCCAGACAATGAATTTCTTTGTGGTTGGACTTGGTATTGCACCAATTTGTTGTTCACCACGTACATAAAGTTTTTTCAAGATGGTGCAAAATTAATTTTGACACTTTTGCTATTAGTTATAAAAATAAGAAAATTAAGTATGAGGAAATTATCCTGCAGAATAGTAGAAAAATGTTCCTTTAAGAGGGTAGTGAAGTAACCAGTATAAGTTTTAAAGCTTCTGGCCTTAACATTTTTTCCTGCATTATTTTTACTTTTATCCTTGAAGTAGTTTTTAAAAGAATGGTACTTTTAAATGAGTAAAAAGCTTAAATTGATAGTCTAACTTCTACAAAAGTGTTTTTTTAACTGTCGGATTTATACTTCTACTTGGGTAATGAACATTAATACTTTTGACACCTCTGAAGGCACCTAATATCACAGTTATTGAAAATGAATAAAAAATAATTAATTTAAATTTGATTCAAGCTCTCCACTAAAATGACCCACTAGTGTGACACTGGGATATCGTGGTCAGGTGAGGGTTAAGTGTTAATACAAATCCATCAAGAACATATCTTAGAGTTTAGACAAATAGAACTCTGCCGCCAATAAAAACTAGGATCAAAACAACCAACAGTTAAGCATTTTGTTTATCACAAATGTTTTTTTTTCACTGTTATAAAACATAAAGCTATAATAAAGTTCCTCTGGGTCAAATAAAAAAAGAAATGTAGGAAACTCCCCAGATTTTAACGTTTTTATTAAAAAACTAGTCCATCCAAAAAAAAATCTATATTTCACTGAGAAGCTGATGTCCAGAATGTTCAGGTGAACAGCATCTTTTCTAACACAATAAACATTTTTAATCATATATTCCTTTCCTTTATCATTTAACCTGAGTTTACAACCATTTGGGGGAAAAAGTTCCAGTAATGCTGATGCAGTAGAGTTTGAGTCAACGGTTTGTCTTACTTCTGTTTTTTTTTTTGTTCCTCTTTCAGGGGATGGGAGAGACGGCTCTTCACCTCGCCGTACGTCTAGAGGAGAGAAGTTCTCTGGCGCTGGTGGATTTCCTCTGCCAGAACAGGTCAGACCATTAATGACATCCATTCTCTTCTCCTTTAAAAGCACTCAGAGAAGAGTTAACACCATCTGTCTGTGCCATATGTTCCATCTGCAGCAACTGTCTGGAGAAGACAACAGTAGATGGGAACACAGCTCTTCACTACAGCGTCTTACAGCACAAAACAGAGTCACTTAAGCTTCTGCTCAAAGCAAAAGCTTCTATTCGCACAGGTATTTTTAATGGTGATAGAAAGCCTCCCTGAACTTTTATGTGCATTTTGAAACGTTACAAACACAAACTTAATGCTTCATGTTGTCGACCAAACTTTGATTATTGCAAAAAACACATCTTTATTTACTTCCCCAAAGAAATCTTTTAAGTCTTGAATATTTTTGTATTCCCTCTACGACTACATATGTTGTTGAACAACCTTTTGCTGCACCTGCAATTCTTTTGGGTACTTCCTTCCCAGCCTTTCACATTAAGAGTCTGACATGTCTGCCAGTTCTTTACAAAATGCTTAGAGTAGACAGCCAAAAAGGAGATTGTATAAAGAGAGTTTTCATGCAACAGATTCCCAATTGGTTTTAGTTTTAGGTCATTCCAACACATAGTTTAAGTTTTGATCCAAACCACTGCATTTTAGCTCTAGATGTGCCTTTATAGTTTTTGTCCCCATCATCGAAGCCTTTAATCAGTTTTCTTTCAGGATTCTGTTCTATCCATGTTCCTCTCAGCTCTGTTTATGTTGCTTGTCAGAGCTGGAATAACAGCATCTAATCACCCTGATGCTGCAACTCCATTTTTAATGTTGAAAAGAGTTGCTCAAAGCTTGGACTTAGATCACCACATAATGATCCTGCTATCAATGGTGTCCATGGGGTGCAAAGAGCATGCAAAAAGACACATTAAATTAGATGTTTTAACAACTACTCCACCTGTCTTCTGGATGACATCCAATGTTTGTTTAGTTTTTTTTAAAAGATGTGGTCCATAGATAATAGTCCATATTATTTTCTCATCAGTTGATGATTGTCTCCCTCTAATGTTTGGAGCACTTCTCTTATGCAGTGCAGTTGGCATCTTTTCCTAACTTGCAGTTGTTTTTGCTACTTGCAGTATTTTTTTTCTCAACATGTGTTTCATGTTTGGACCTTTTGAATTTACTGTGAAATCATGTTTTACATGGTGTTTGCACCCCTCAGCCACTGTAGCCACCACAGTTTCACCATGTTTATGGTGTGTGTTTAGGGGGTTGTAAAAAACAAAAAATTGATTGATGCTTTTCCAATTTAATGTACAAGTTTGTTTCTTGTACCATAGGCGATGAATAAAGCTCTGAGATTTAATGTTCTTTTTTTGTAGTGAACTCAAGTGGAGAAACGGCTCTAGACATGGCAAAGAGGCTGCAGCACACTCACTGCATCGAGCTGGTGAGACCATATTTTTCCTCTATCTGTAAAGGTTTGACAAAAATGCTAGGAGATTGCTCATTCTCTCTTGTGAGCTCTAGTTTTAAAATTAGAATACCTTTTAGAAAGCCGAATCCAGAGACAAAGTAGCATAACTTCCACAGCTGGAAAGCCTGCCTTAACAAAACTCCCTGTGCAGCCCAACTACGCATAAATCTTCCTCCATAGAAAGTCCCAGGGTGCATAATTTTTTAACTGGTCTTATTTTTTTTCTGGCTATTAGCCCCAATGAATCAAACCAAGCTTTTTGTCACATCCTGTTTGATTATAAATAACCTGGTTATTGGCAGTTTTCCGCTAGATGCCTAAAGTTTAATTTGCTTTACTTTTTTGTGGGTTTTAGGTAATAGGTGATTAAGAAGTCAATTCAATTCAGTTTATTTATATTGCGCCAATTCACAACACAAGTCATCTCAAGGCACTTTACAGTTCAACCAGATCATACAGTCAAATTGATTCAGAGTTTTCTATCTAAGGAAAACCAGTTGATTGCATTGACTCATTGACTCAAATACAATCCCTCACACTAAGCAAATCAGTGTGATCAAATGTGAAACATTTTCAAATATTCAAATTTTAAGAGAGAAAATATTTTTTTATTATTGTTATTTAAAAAATTTATAAACTTAAATGAGATTGTAAATAATTTACATTCAGTCAAAAGCCAAACCTTACCTCTAGTCTGCTTTTAAACACACAATAGTTCTACATTCTGGAATAATGTGGTTGATAAGTGTAGAATAAGGAAAATAATGACTCTTTAAGTTGAACTTCTCTCTTTAGTTACAAACAGATGAGCTGAGAAGTCTGGAGGACTCATAAGATAAAAGCTTACTTGATAAATAAGACGGGCCCAGATTATTGATAGTAAAAAAAAAAAAAAAACATACAATACCTCCCTCACATTTTTTAGTTCCGATTCCTAGTTTCTATGCCCGGTATGTCAAATGGAAATAGAAGCTGCTTAATATCAGCCAAGAAGAATCCATACGAACGTGTGCACAGCCATCTGTTGTTGCAGCGGCATTGAAAAGTGTGGCTTACAGTCTTTTTTTAAGAAATGACCAGTCAGTTACCTAAGGATGGGATTATCTTATGCAAACGATGGTTCATGGCTAATATGAATATACAGAGGATACATTCTTTTCAACCGTTACATCATCTGTTGTTTATTTTAGTTAATTTGAGAGTTGTTTCATATGATACAACCCACTCACTGAAACACAGAGTCATCTGATTGAGTGGAATAGAGGTGCAGTGAACAACGCTGAGAATATAAACTCTGTCAGGATGCCTTCCTGCTGTGCTACTTTCCTTCCTAATAAACATGATCATAACGCATAAGTCCCACAAGCTTTGTGGACACTGGATATATGTAAATGGGTTTTAAAAGGGCTTTAACAATAAAGCTCCAATTGAAAGTGTAACTCTGAAAAGAAAATTCAAAAGATTTATATTGAAGCTCATTGATTTGACATTTATATACTAAAAGTAACTTTGTAATAATTTGTTGTAGCAATAAGACAATTTACAGTAGATATCCAAGGAGTCAGATTTCTTTGATAATTTCAGACTGTTTCATTTAGATGACTGGTTTGTAAGCTGATTTATAACATGATAACTTTTAAAAACCTTCTCTTTCAATGTCGGAATTGAAAGAAGGAATTTGAATCTGAAAGAGAATCTTTCAAATTAAAACAATGCCCAACCTTAGGCATTTGATCAGAATATACTCTTCATGCCTCCCTTCGGAGGTTTTCAAGATAGATCCGAACTAATGCAGACCCCCCCGAGCAGACAGAGCTTGCAAGAGGAACTGTATATTCCTTCTGAACAAGGAACAGCCTTAAATCCTCCAGAATGAGCTGAGGCATGTGACCTGGGAGAGTTACATCTCTACTTCAGTTTTTAATGGAGTTTAGGCTTTAGGATTGCAGAATATGTTAATAATCTGCAACTACACCTGTGTTTCTTCAGTTGGAGCTGGCCAAAAATGGGAAGTTCAACTCTCAGATCCACGTGGAGTACATGTGGGAGAGCCAGTCTCAGGAGTTCTATGACAGCGAGGATGACCTGGATGAGAGAGTAAATACCAAAGACACAGCCTTGTCACTGAATGTCACTCTTAGGCAAAGAAGATTTGTGGAAATTTTAAATGGAGTTAAAGTGTAATGACTTGTTACCTCCCTCTAGGTGAGTCCGTTGCCCAAAAACCGCTCCCCTCCTTCAAACGGCGGCGGTGGTTCCTCCTTTGCCCAGTGGGTGGGTAGCAATGGTTCAGGCTTGGGCGTTAGACCCTGTCAGACATATGAGAACCTGGAGTTCCTGTACAAGAACCCTCCTGGCAACAGCGGCCATATGGGAGCATCCTTACCACCACCGCTGCCAGCCAAATCCGTCCAAAGAGGTAAGTAACTGTGTTTTACTGCAATGTACAATATAAGCTGACTTTTTTCAGGTGTAAAATCCTACAAACTTAGATTTTGGTTGACATATAAAAATTTTGGGGACAATTCTTTCTTAAATACATATATATATATTTGTTTGTTTGTTTGTCATACCGATATTTACCTCCACAGGCCGTTCAGACCCCCAGATATCAGTCACAGCAGCACAGGAGGGGACCCACATCCCACGGCGCTGCTCTNATAAACTTAAATGAGATTGTAAATAATTTACATTCAGTCAAAAGCCAAACCTTACCTCTAGTCTGCTTTTAAACACACAATAGTTCTACATTCTGGAATAATGTGGTTGATCAGTGTAAAATAAGGAAAATAATGACTCTTTAAGTTGAACTTCTCTCTTTAGTTACAAACAGATGAGCTGAGAAGTCTGGAGGACTCATAAGATAAAAGCTTACTTGATAAATAAGACGGGCCCAGATTATTGATAGTAAAAAAAAAAAAATATATATAATACCTCCCTCACATTTTTTAGTTCCGATTCCTAGTTTCTATGCCCGGTATGTCAATTGGAAATAGAAGCTGCTTAATATCAGCCAAGAAGAATCCATACGAACGTGTGCACATCCATCTGTTGTTGCAGCGGCATTCAAAAGTGTGGCTTACAGTCTTTTTAAGAAATGACCAGTCAGTTACCTAAGGATGGGATTATCTTATGCAAACGATGGTTCATGGCTAATATGAATATACAGAGGATACATTCTTTTCAACCGTTACATCATCTGTTGTTTATTTTAGTTAATTTGAGAGTTGTTTCATATGATACAACCCACTCACTGAAACACAGAGTCATCTGATTGAGTGGAATAAAGGAGCTTTGTGGACACTGGATACATGTAAATGAGTTTTAAAAGGGCTTTAACAATAAAGCTCCAATTGAAAGTGTAACTCTGAAAAGAAAATTCAAAAGATTTATATTGAAGCTCATTGATTTGATATTTATATACTAAAAGTAACTTTGTAATAATTTGTTGTAGCAATAAGACAAATTTACAGTAGATATCCAAGGAGTCAGATTTCTTTGATAATTTCAGACTGTTTCATTTAGATGACTGGTTTGTAATCTGATTTATAACATGATAACTTTTAAAATCCTTATCTTTCAATGTCGGAATTGAAAGAAGGAATTTGAATCTGAAAGAGAATCTTTCAAATTAAAACAATGCCCAACCTTAGGCATTTGATCAGAATATACTCTTCATGCCTCCCTTCGGAGGTTTTGAAGATAGATCCGAACTAATGCAGACCCCCCCGAGCAGACAGAACTTGCAAGAGGAACTGTATATTCCTTCTGAACAAGGAACAGCCTTAAATCCTCCAGAATGAGCTGAGGCATGTGACCTGGGAGAGTTACATCTCTACTTCAGTTTTTAATGGAGTTTAGGCTTTAGGATTGCAGAATATGTTAATAATCTGCAACTACACCTGTGTTTCTTCAGTTGGAGCTGGCCAAAAATGGGAAGTTCAACTCTCAGATCCACGTGGAGTACATGTGGGAGAGCCAGTCTCAGGAGTTCTATGACAGCGAGGATGACCTGGATGAGAGAGTAAATACCAAAGACACAGCCTTGTCACTGAATGTCACCCTTAGGCAAAGAAGATTGTGGAAATTTTAAATGGAGTTAAAGTGTAATGACTTGTTACCTCCCTCTAGGTGAGTCCGTTGCCCAAAAACCGCTCCCCTCCTTCAAACGGCGGCGGTGGTTCCTCCTTTGCCCAGTGGGTGGGTAGCAATGGTTCAGGCTTGGGCGTTAGACCCTGTCAGACATATGAGAACCTGGAGTTCCTGTACAAGAACCCTCCTGGCAACAGCGGCCATATGGGAGCATCCTTACCACCACCGCTGCCAGCCAAATCCGTCCAAAGAGGTAAGTAACTGTGTTTTACTGCAATGTACAATATAAGCTGACTTTTTTCAGGTGTAAAATCCTACAAACTTAGATTTTGGTTGACATATAAAAATTTTGGGGACAATTCTTTCTTAAATACATATATATATATTTGTTTGTTTGTTTGTCATACCGATATTTACCTCCACAGGCCGTTCAGACCCCCAGATATCAGTCACAGCAGCACAGGAGGGGACCCACATCCCACGGCGCTGCTCTAACCCGTCACCACACTCCTCCAGTCCTCAAACACAAGCAAAACAAAGTTTCTCTTCATCAAATACAGAAATCCACAGTCAGAGTGTGAGACCCCCGCGCTCCCCCCATGGACAGGGAGGTCTTCAACGAACACATAGGCAGACCTGGGATGGCCAACCTGGTTGTTTCCCACAGCCACCCAACCAGAGTCACAGTGGACCTGTCAGGTGAGGAAAGCTGCAGATAAGCCTAAGAATAAATATTTGTGCTTAGCTCCAATCAGGAGGTTCCTTGAAATCATAATCACCATTCATTTTCTTAGATTAATTCTCTTAATAATATTTTTAAACTTAAATATACCTACACCTATGCTAATATTAGACATTTAGTAATATCTGTTGGAGAATTGGTAGCTGTTATGGAAATGCCCTAATTTCCATTGACTGACCTGGATTTTAAGAATGATCGATTTAACAGAGCACACTCTTCAAATCCTAGAGGCTTTCAAATTTGGTCACATTACACTTAACAAGAGTAAGACACTGGCTGTTTCTCAATTCACAAGAATGCTAGAATGGACTTATGTTCTCATGAAGTATGTTCTTAAAAAGAACGTAGGAAAGTATGGACTCCAGAAGAACAGGAGCACGCAGAACAAATCTGTGTCAATTAGAACAGAAACGTACTCGTGACATCACCACTTGCTCAGCTCCTCTGGACCTGCATTTAATAGTTAGACAATTAATATTGTCTCTAGATAAAAATTTATTATTACTGCTTTCATTCATTGTGGGAATAATAATTAACACAATCAGAAAAACACAAATGAAATGAACGTTTTGCCAAATAAAACAGAAACTGCCGTCAGAGCCAGTGGTATTTCACACACTGCTATGCTGAGAGAGGGTTGCTGCAGACGGGCTAACGTTAGCCCTGGCTGTGGTTAGCCTTGGAGGTTCGCTGGTTGCCACGGTCGTCTCAACATCTGAACTTTTTTTTAAATTATGCACTAAATCAGTAAATGGGCCATATACTGACACTTAAGAGTAAAATATTCTCGCCTCAATTAACTTAAAACATACTTTTAGAGAACATACTTTTAGTTAACAATTATATTTAGGTTTATTAACTAAAAAATGTAAGTGCCAGTATCAACATTAATGTGTCTAAGGTTATGTTGTACCCCCCAAAAATTTTATTCTTTCACTTTAAGTGTTTTTCATGGATATTTTATTGAAGCACTTTTGTTATTTTTCTTAATATATTCGGGCAAGTTGGTGTTACTTGGTGATATTCATTTTTACCTTCAAAATATCAAAATATCCATATTTTTTGAATGTTACAAAGGTAATAATGTCTTGTCCTGGATTGCAATAACACTATTGGCTTGAAATTTAGATTTTTAAAGTATTTCACGGAGTGCCCTATAAAGGGTTAAAGGTTTAGGTGGGCATTCCAGAAGATCATTATAGTTTAATATAATCATTCTGAACCCATTTAGCCTTTGTGGGTATCTGAAAAGTTAAAAACAAACAACTGGACTTTTCCAAGTTTGAAGACGTTTTTCTTCCCATCCAGAAAGTTTTCTCAATTCAAAATGTCTGGAGTAGTGTTTAAGTTCCAGGCTTATAGAGTGGCCCAAACAAAAGCCTTGTTATGGTTCAGAAAACACGCAAATTAAACTGATGAGTCTTTGAGGTCGTTGCTGGCCTGCAAATTAACGCGAAACTGGCCCGTGCCTCTGAAAAGGGGAGTAGTTAGGGTCGTTATTGGCCTGGCTTACTGGAGCGATGTTTTGACCACCTGCATGATGAGGGTTGAGGTTTTCGAGAGCTGAAACCTGAATCCACCCCCTCTGTTTAAGGTTGGTTTTTCTCTCTTAATGTAAATTGCTCCTTTCACACCCGCAGGAATGCTATGGTGCAACCACACAGACACCTTATTGTGTTTCAAACCAGCTATGACCCCAGGCACATCTGAACTGATTTTGGAATGGACAAAGGAGACCAACATTAAACTGCTGGAATTGTCACAGAAAATGTGTGAACTTTGCCAATAAACATATGTACAGATAAACATATTGAAACAAACTCTAAAATGCAAAGGAGAGAGGTCAAATATCCTATCAGGATTCTGGTTTTCATGGCTGCAAAGCATGTGGATCCTTATCTAATTCCTTAGCAACGTTGAACCAAATATCAACAGAGGTCTATTTGATTCTATGTCTACATTTCAAACCTGTGTGGGTCTGAAAAATTCTGTGTTAATATCAAGTTGTGGACTAAATTCTCTTATATTTAACATTAATCAAAGGTGCACTTTGTATCACCATTCCACCCTGGAAAAAGAATAATTTTAATTCATTTTAATGCCAAATACAGAATTTAATGTTTTCTTTTTTGTCACTCAACCATATTGAAAAAAATCCTCTTTTAATGCTTGTTTCTCTAGTTCAGAGAAGACCACATCCTATCGTCGGACCAGCAGTGGAGGGATCAGCCATGGAAAGTGTAGCTCTGAGTCTCTGAGCTGTGTGGGCAGCCAGGAGGAGCTCTACTGCAGCTTAGCGGGAGGCGCTAACAGCTCTATTCCTTCTCCAGCACCTCGTCCCCGCAGGAATGCTATGGTAAAACCAAACAGACACCTTATTGTGTTGCATTCAGCCTTATGTCCCTCAGCAGAGGAGCTAACAGTCCTGGGAGGTTGCACCGATAGTGAACTGATTGCTTTGTTGCTCTTTTCCCTCAGGTCTCAGTCAACAGGCCAAACAAGCGTGTCAAGGCTCTGGTGGACTGCCGAGCGGTCAGCTCAGAGCAGCTTGCTTTCTTTAAAGATGAAGTCATTGTTGTCACAGCCATTAATGACCCCCACTGGTGGGTGAGTGCAACTACAGATTTCTATTTTTACCACGTCCTGATTTTTTCAAAGGTGTTCCCCTATTAAACTCAACTGTAGTTTTAATTGTAATGCATTGGGAGTTTCTGTGAATTAACAGAAAGCAGCACATAATTAGTTTTGGGCTAGTGGTTAAGAGCAGTGCGCTTGTGCTTTGAAAGGTTGCAAGTACTCTGTTTAATCCCCACAACCTCCAATCTGGGTTCCTGAGCAAAACCCTTAACCCCTAATTTCTCCCCGGGCGCCACACAAAGACAGCCCACTGCTCCCCAAGGGATTGGTTCATATTGCAGAGTGCAAATTTCCCCATTGTTGGACAAAAAAAGGGATTTACATAACTAGGAAGTGGAGGACATGCAGTTTTTAAACTTTTTTCCAAATGAAAATCTGAAAATTTGTCATGCATATTCAGTAGTCTCCTTTATTCAAATGCATCCACAAAATATAAAATTTATTGTTTGCAGTTAATGTCTCCTAATTAGGAAGCGTAGGGTGAAGAAATTATCTCAGCATGAGATCTCTTAAGGCCTAAGATGTTATTTATTGGACATATGTGATCAAACAGCATCATAAAGTTAGAAGAACACCAGAAATCAGGTCATTTTGATGAAAATATTTAAAAAAATAAAAACATTGAATAACTAAATATCTACTTTTACATGGTTGTCCACTTAAGCTGACTGGCATGAATTATAACTTAAAATAAATCAGAAGCAGCTAAGAGGCCCGTGGTAACGTTGGACAATTTGTAGGGATATTAACTCATCTGGGAGAATCTGACAATTCTTACTGTATTTTCCAGACTATAGAGTGCAGCTCACTATAAGCTGCGCCCACTAATTGCTTATTTACGGTAAACATATGCAAAATGACAATAAAGTTTGTCTAAGTCTAAAAGCCGTTGATATCTACTGATATGTCTTCCACCAAACCTGTAGGAGGAGCTCTACATATCACCCCTGGAGCAGGGACAAAGAAGAATGCCAGCTCCTGTTAGCTTGTTGGCTCGCAGCAGTAAGAGCTTCTACTGAAAGATGGGGCTTTATCAGCTCTTAATTTCAGCTCTGCAGGAGTTGAGCCCAGTCTCTTCATTAGTTTGGCAGCTTTAATCCGGCAAATAATTGTCAAAATGTCTGAATTCGGGACATTTGTTCCCCGTCGCGCCTGCTGCCTGCATGTTCTTGTGCTAAATGAAAATTAGACCCTTATTCTTTCATTTCCAACTTTTATTTCCCCTCTGGTGGTTAGGAAAAATCAACAGAAAAGCTGCAACCTCTACAAGCTGCATGTAACGGCTTACAGCCCAGGAAATACAGTAATCATGCCATCCACAATCTTGGTCGCTAAAGAAAGGCAAAAACGTCACTTGCAGTTTGCCAGAAACAGTGAACAGATTAAAGAAGTTCCTTTGCTCAAGACAGCCAAAGTCAAACGCCATAAACAAATCATCCCCACCCTGAAATAAGGTGGTGAATGCATCATGCTGTGGGGATGTTTTCTTCAGTAGAGAGATGATTGGATTAAGCTAAATAAGTGACACTAATGGAAGCAAACATGTTGGAGGCTTTATGTTCCAATACGTCTACTGAACTAACTTTAAACCATAGTCACTGTAAGAATGGCCAAATTCTAGCAGATCTACAACCAAACAAATACATTTCAAAAAAGGATTATTGCAAATGTTCTACATGAGCTTGGGTCTTTTTAGGTCAAAAACATCAATCTAATTGGTGAAGCTGGATTTGCAGTTATTTTCAGAGACTAGTTAGCTTATCATAGACGTTTAATGAAATATTCCAGATATTTTGGGGTATTATATACAGTAAACACAGATCACTCTATCATAAAGTGATGTATTTTGGACAGTGCCAGTGACCTTCCCACCCATTCGCAAAATAAACATGGCATTATTTATTTTCCTGACAGGTCGGCCACATAGAGGGTGATCCGTCCAGGAGTGGGACCTTTCCTGTCAACTACGTGCACAAACTAACAGACTGATGTTAGTTTGTACTTTGGAGCCTTGGGACTTCATCACCACATGTGGAAAAAACAAATCAACAAAACAAAGAGCTCTACTAATGGATCCAAGTAATCTAGGAATACTGTAGGATCTACTGAGCAAAGGGCAGCTGCAGAAGATAATTACCTTTAAAGGGGATTTGTTTCCTTCTGAAACATTTGCTTATCCTGGAAAGCAACAGAAAACTGAAAGCTTTTATTTGTTGCCATAAATATAGTTACCAAGATAAAGCAATGCTTGTAATGGCTTTATAGTTCTTTTAAATATTAATCAAACATTTGGGCTGCAGATATAAAAAACTGCCTGTACTGATAAAAGACTTGTACACACAGGCAAAATTTCACTGCAGGACAAAACCTCTTGAAGGCACTTTAAGATTCAGAGGAATCCTCTGAAGACCTAGGAAAGCTGTAAATGTTTAATTAGCCAGCTAGTGATCTGTGAGTTGGCAGCTTTATTGGTTCTGAATGAAAAATGAGGAGTATTTTAAATTACAGGTTAATGGGATTGATGAGGTTCAGACCTGCCCAGTATGTGCAGCAGACTGGCCTAGAACGTGCCTGCCAGTCTGTCTCCAGTAAAAAGTCAATCTTAATGCTTCAACCACCATGACTCTAGCCCTCGGCCGGCTGCAGACAGAGTGCAGGATCCAGTTTCTGTTGCCTCCAGCCAAATGTCTCCAGAGAACCTGGAATAACAGCAACATGTTGGAGAGGGGAAAAAAAAGGATCCTCTGGCTTACAGGAAATGGTGCTTAAAGCAGACTTGGTAATAAAAGCATCCATTCACTGTAATTCATTCAAGGTTGTTTCTGTTTTTACTTTTTAAACCCACATTTTTCATGACACACAAACAAACACAGATACACTTCCAGGATTCAGGAAATGGAGAAAAGACATCTGAGTAAACTGCACACATTTCACTTCTTACACACAACATTTTGTACATATCAACCAAAACCTAATATTTGCAGGTGATGTAAGAAGTGAATGCATCCTGAATCAAATGACTGGTTCCTCTGAAATAAAAGATCTGGCATGAGGAGTCATTTCAAATGTGTTTTCACCTTTAATGTAACATAAATCATGTTCAGTGTAGCTGAAAGAGGATTTTGTAAACAGAAAAGTGTATTAAATAAAAAACTGTACATTAACTTGATTGCACATGTGTGTACACCCTTAAACTTGCACTTTGTTGAAATACTTTTTTGCTTCCGTTTAAGTTTTCAGTCTTTGATTGGAATCTGTCAGCATTTAACACCTGGAATTATTTTATCTTGCAAAATTTTTTTTCTAAATCTTGGGAGTCTATGATCAGATCTACTGGCCATAAACCATGTATATTCAGTTCTCAAATTGATTTCTAATCTAAAGAGTATTTTAACATGCGAATAATAGAATTTTTCAGCCTTAGATTAAAAATTATTCTGTATTTTTTGGAGTTTTCACAGTGGCTCACATTATACCAAGTAAACATAAGGGCTCTATATAAAACAATTCTGTTTTATGCAATGTCCCCACAGAATAGCAAAAAAATAAAAATTACACCTTGGTCTATGTTTAATTTTTCTTTGCTCTAAGGCTCTGTCATTTGGCCTCTAATTCCGCTTTTTTATTGTTAAGATTGTATCAATTTCTGTTGAGTTTTAATAATTATGGAAATGTCTTAATCAGCTCAAGAATATATCTTAAAGTTTAAGAACTTTAAAGGTTAAACCTTAAATAACAAAACCATCAGTTGTATTTTTAGCATACTAAAATAGTTTCATAAAGGGAATATTTCTAAACCTATAGTTATCTTTTTTATACTTGATGCAGAGTATATTATTTGCTTTCTCCAGAATGATTCCTAACTACATTGAGATTTGTTGAAATTTCTAATTAGGATGTGCATGAATCGAGGGTGTGTGTACTCCTGCAACCAATTGTTCTTTTTTCTTTCTTTTTTTTTCTCAGCAAAATATTTTTTTTCTTTACATGATATATGTCACACTAAAGGTGTAATACATTTGAAAGTTATGTATCTTGGTTTGATTATTTATGATGCACTTATAGGGATATTAATATGCACTGTATATATTGTTGAATAATTATTTTACTTGTTTTTTGTTCCATTTGATAGGAATTTTGAGGGACAGTGTTACTTTTCATCTTATAATTTCACATGTTTTTGTGTAGCATTTTGTTGTTGTTAGTTACTGCTAGTGATGAAATGTCATTTTGCTAATGGGTAGAAATGCATAGAGTGGCGGTACAGGTGAATAGGTTTGCTTTTTTTCTTGTACAACTTTAGACGACTGGTTAGGAGTCTGTTTTTGCAAGCCTCTATTTCTGCTACTATCGTCCGGTTTCTATGTTTATTATCACACAGAGAACCATGAGAGAGTGAGAGAGCAGGTGACCACAGCAGAGAGTGACCATGTGAAATCTAAATAAAAAAAACAGCTTGATTTAGTTGGTTTATTTGTAACATATGCATTAAAACATTTTTAATGAAGACCTTTGCTGTACATGGAGTGATATTTTTCTGTTTCTGAGTGACAGCTTCTAAAATTCTACATTTAGTGGTAAAATATTTTTAATCAATCCTTAAACATTGATATATCTATTTATTCAATATGCTTTGTTTCAATTTTTAAGGTATTGACAAAAATTATTTGGTTTTCGCATGAAATTGTTAGAAAAAAAAAAAATGAAACCATCTAAGTTTTGAAGGCTTCTGCCAGCAATTCCATTTAGGCCATTAGAAAACCTGACAAGGACATTCATTTTCAGGTCCCATCCCTACACACAATTTATTTACCCGCTCATGTTTTACACTGTTTTAGTCTCATATTCTCAGAGACAGTAAATACCGCTCGCTTCGACTTAATTTAGAATTTCAAATAATTTACCATGATGTTCAAACATATGTCTGTATCCTATTTGAAAAAGAAATAAAGACAATTTTACCCCTAAGCTAAGTGAAACCTCCTCACACATCTCTTTTGGCAGATGTTTTTCTTTTTATCCAAATGGATGACACTTTGCCCTGACCCACTCTGAGAGTTGGGATGATGAAATCCCAACCTGTCACTTACGTAAGCAGCCATCTCATGGGCAGCCAGCATAGAACAACCATCAGGCTGAAGCCTGCTCTGCTCTGCCAGCACAGATAAGCTTATCTCCCTACCAGCCCTGCATGTGGTCTTATACTGATGCATACAATATATACAAATTGCACCATAAAAAAATCTTTTAATACCTTTTTCATTATAGATAAATACACATGCTAATGCGTTTTGGTTGCAAAAAGCAGAAATCTTGAGTAATATCTTGTTTTATATATTTCTTTATTAAAATCAATAGGAGAGTTAGTCCATTATCACTGTAAACAAGTTAATAAATGTTCAATTATAAGACCAACTGTTCTATGCACAGCATATAAACACAGTAAAAATAGACTATAGCTTTCCTGTTTTAGGTCAGCATACTTCTGTTTTTGATTGTGAGTTTACACTGTTCTCTCAGTAGTTTGCAGAATTATACTGTTCTCTCAGTAGTTTGCAGAATTATTGGCCCATCTCTCCTAAAAGAACTGACTGAGGTTTGTAGACCACTCTTCAGGCTCACACAGATTTTCACCTATTCTAACACATTTTTAATGGGACTAAGACGCAGGCCTTGAGGTGGATGCTCCAGAACATCTACACTGGAAAAACGATCTAGAAATAAGTAAAAAAATGTCTTAAATTAAGTGTATTTACCCTTAATTTGAGTAGATAAATGAGATAGTTTGCCAATGGAATGAATATGTTTACTCTTGAAATAAGATAATTAGATAATGTGCACTTGAAATAAGACAATCCAGTTGTGTTTTCTTATTAAATTGTCTTGTTCAATTGGCAAAACATCTCTTTTACATCCTCAATCAAAGAAGAAATGCACTTATTTTAGGAAAAAATGACTTATCTAGATTTCAATTTTTTCCTGTGTAGTTTTGTAAGCCACTAGGAGCATTGTTTTCCAGCTGTGATAGCCTGGCTGATTTATTTGAGATGCTGCTTTAGTAATTCCACGTAATATTTCTCTTTTTTGATGCCCAGTCATTAACTATTGTTATGATGGCCACAAACGTTTAATTTTCAGCTTTTTTCTTTGTTTTAATATTTCATCAGACAGCAGCACACGTTCTTATAAGGCCTCTGCGCTGAGAAAAAAAAATGCAACTGCTTATGGCTTTTACTTATTCATATTTAGTTACTTTAACACAATTGTTTTATGTCCTACCCTGCTAACATGAAACAATTGTGTTAAAGAAAATAAATATGATTAAGTTAATTCCAAAAAAAGTTGCATTATTTGTTTCAGTATAAACTGTACTCAGGCTTTCTGTATGTCTCCTTCAAAAAATGACTTGTTTATCCCTGAGAGATATATTATTCCAATTCAAATAGGAGCTGTATCACCATGGAGCATTACATATCTTATCCTATAAGCTTTTACCAGCAGATTTATCATGAAGTCTTTTACTTTGATTTTAAGGGTGATTCACAGACCTTCCACCAAAGTAAGCTGATCTCCAGGATGCAGAATCCTGGACATTTACATAATGTTTAGATTTGCATATATCTGTTTGAAAAGATGTGTATAAAAAGTGTTTTGATTCAAACTAACTAATCAAAATCTTTGTGCCTGATGCAGCTTTTTACAGCTTTCTCCTGGCATGCAGTCTCTTGTTACGTCAAAAAGAACTGCCTTTTTTCTGCTGACCCTGCTCTGCAAGCTGCTGCTAGCTGCTGTGAAACACTGCAAGGTGACCCAAATTGTCCTGAAACGTCTTCTTTCTGCACGAATGGAAAATAAATTTAACACTCTGTGTTTGTGTACTCCACACAAAAAGGATTTTTTTTTCTCACTCTGAAGCAACAAGGGGGGAAAAATAATCTTCACAAAATTCAAATAATTGAGTCAGTTTATTAATGAATCAAACCCTTTTACCAACAAATATTCTTACAAAAGAAGAGCTTGTGTTGAGTGTTGGAATAATTGCGAAGCTTTGTGCTGAATGTTGTTGTGATAAAAAAACAAAAATAATTAAATGTTTTAGTTTTTACAAAAACAGATAAGGTATGAAGCTGAAGTGTGTAATAAATTATACTCACTTGATCAAGTAATAATTATTTGCCAAACCTAGGATGGCTTTCAAACATAAAACATCTCAAATACTTTTAGGTAACATTCAATCTAATGTAAAGCAGAGCTATTAGCCCATTAGAATATCACATAATAAAAACAATAAACAATAATATGCATAAGAAATACAAACTATTTAAACATTCAAGTGTTAAGCATCATAAAGGTGGCTTTGAGCCTGTGGCTAGCCAGCACTGGTGTCAATAAAGGGCTAAGTCAATTCATCCAAGTTCAATGTTCTTTAGGAAGCCCACCACAGGTCCAAAGTAGAAATACTTTATAATCAGTTTAAGAAAAACACCAAACAATCAACATTACATTCATTCTGCAAGTGGGCCCAGAGATCTTTGGGTGTTTTTCTCCATTCAGAAAACAAACAGTGCAAATCCACAGCAAAGCATAATCGAGTGATTTTCTTCTCAGTTGAAAAAGCAAAGTAGAACTCAGCCAACATTTATTTGTGGATCCCGTATAAGGTTTGGTCCGACTGAAGAGATACTACCTTATCAATCTGTTCCCAAAATAAGTGTTTAGAATCAGTGGCGGTTCTAGACTAAAATGTACCAGGGAGCCAGGAGGGGGCCCATGTGTTTCCATGGAGGCCCAGAAAAGCATGGAATAAAAAACAAAGGAAGGGATTCAAATATATTAAGATAGCTGCAT